AAAATCTGATGGAAACCAAACCCATTTTCATTTTCTATTTCGACTGCCAACGGCTCAGTTGGCTAAAATTTCTCATTAAATAAATATAAATAGTTAGTGGAATTTGGAATGGTGAGAATTTGCTTATTTCTTTTCTAAATCGATTCTTGAAAACAATCGAAAAATTCGATAAAATATTTAAAAAAGAAAATAATTTTGGGCAGATTTCTTTGACAATAAATATTATTTATGAAAAATAATTTAATTTGCTGATAATTTGTGAATTTGCTGATAACTGATTTTATTACTATTAGCTCGAAATTAGTTTCCAATTGCACACTATTATTTCGAAATAAAAATTTCTAAAAAAAAATAATCGGATAATTTTATTTCCATTAGATATTGAAAAAAATTTTATCAAAAATGACCATTCCACACGCTCAAATCGTCGCACAAACATTTGCCATTTCGTTGAATTTTAGATTTAATGATAGATTACGAGCTTTAGAAAGGAGGCGAAGTGGAAATTGCGCACGGGAAAACAAGACTATTTCTGTTCGATAGGGACATATTGAGCACTTTGAGAGAAATATTTTTCAATTGGCTAAAAGTTGGTTAAATCATAAAATGAAATTTTTCAGAGAATTATAAATCAACGAATTAACGAATTATTATTAATAATAACGATAACGATAATAACAACAATAATAAATAATAAATAAAATTAATATTAATAATAATAGTAACAAATTAGTAATAGTTAATAATAAATAATAATAGTATAATAATAACAATAATAGCAATAATAATAATAATAATAGCAAATAATAATAATTAAAAATAATAATTGTATTGATTAATAACCAATAATAATGATAATATAATAATATTATAATAATAACCAACAATAACAAATAATAATAATAAAAATAAATAACAATATATAATAACCAATAATAATAAAAATAATAACAATAAATAAGAATAATAACTAACAATAATTAAATAATAATAACTAATAATAATAATAACTAATAATATAACCAATAATAATAACTAATAATACAATAATAATAATATACCATTAATATTTAATAATGCCAATAATGTTTAAAAAAGCAATAAGCAATAGGCAAAATTATTTCTAAAAAGATAGGAATTTTCGCAAAATAAGAAATAAAAAAATAGAAAAGTGAAAATAGAAAAAAATTTAAATAATTGTCAGATGATGAAAATATAATAAAATTTCTAATTTTTTCAAATTTCATAAATATTTTCTCAAAATAATAATTTATTTAATAGAAATCGAGTATAAATTTTTCCGAAAATAATTTTTAACAATCATAAACAAACGATTTATTTCCTTTTATTTCACACAAATTCCCAAAATAAAATTAATTTTCAATAATTTCATAAATTAAATAAATTAATTTGAAATTATAATAATCAGATTTTATAATATTGAATTTTACGAATTTTAACGAACTAAAAATTTTATTCATTGAAATCATTTTCAGCTGTTCATAATTATAAGTTCAATAAAGATTGAAAGATTTAATGATCCATGCGTGCTTTTAATTCCAAGTGATACTATGGCAAAACTCTATGATTCTATGGTTCTAGCCTAGTAATAGAGCCAATCAATTCTAAAAAATGATGATAATGATGAATAAATGATGATGAATAAATGATGTGAGAAGAAGATAATAAATGGTATCAATGCTTAGCTTAAACACTCTACACTCTACTTTATTAATACTGATAATACTGATAAATAGAATGACAACAGTTATTGATAACATTTATCTGGAGCAAAAGAAAATTTTATTTATTATATTATTTTAATTATTTTGAGAGAAAATAATTATTTCAAAAGATATGATATGATAATTGATATTGGATATTTGGAAATTATGGAGAAATTTATTGTGTCGTCTCTAAACGTTAATAATAACGTTTCAATGTTTTTCACTTCGATGGTAAAATAATAAATTCCACTGGGTTTTAAGGAATAAAAAAGCCGACTATTATGCTATTCATCCATCCAATAGGAAAAAAGACGATAATTTATAGAAATGGAAAAGATATTTTGGCTCGGAAATGAAATTTTCTAATAAAACATTAAACATCAAAGCACAAAACCCAAACAACGATCGACGTTTATAGATTAACAAATAATTTCATTATTTATAAAAATCAAATAATCTCTTATTTATTTATTTTAATTTAATTAAAATAGCAAAAATTTTCAGAAAAAAAAAATTATGAAAAGATTTTTAATAATTTTATTTTATTAATTCTTAACTCGTAGATTATACGATTATTTTAAAAAAAGGCGATAATTTTTATTTATTAAAGAGAGAGTGATTTTTAATCAGTTAGAGTGTGGGCTAAGACGATGGAAAAATTATAGCTTATCAGTTCTCTGACACCTATCAGCTATGATAGCGAATCGAGTCACTTGGAAATGCCTTAAGCGTTTTTGACTATCTTGGCCAGCCTAGTCGCTCCAGCCAATGCCCAATAAGAAATAATTTTCACTTAAATCAAAGAATTTAAAAATCTTTGCTCAACTACTTAAGGAAGTTCATAATAAACATAAAAATTATTCGGACCATTGGAATAACCCTTTCCAAGAAGGTTCGTTCATTTGGCTTTTATCAGGCTTTGCGACCGCATATTTTCGTTTTCATGCCCGTCACGTGTCTCCTCTTTCTGCGAGAAATTCGATTTATCAATCAGTCGATCAAATTCGACATAGAGCGACGAGTGATTTTCGACTTTTGACACTTTTATATCAACCAACGGACAGTTGTTCGCAATATGCTTTTAGTGTATAGTAACACAAAAAATAAAAGAACAATAAAAAAGTGGTCGCGAAATTCGTGGCTGGAAATATGGTCTCTGCTCTATTCCCTAAGATCCCTAGGATGCCCCAAATTTGGGTCCTCATATTGAATGATTCCCTGGATTCCCCAAAATGATATGCAGACTTGGCATAAATTCTTATTATGTGAAATCAACCGCATGCGAAAAAAAGGAAGAATTTAGCATATACCACACGAATTAACTGAGTTAAGGAAAAGTGCTATAAATTATCCTTTCTGGGAATATTTCTTGTGATGAAAAATGAATTCTGCACGACAATAAAAATGGCGGTACAACAAATGGATAAGAATGAATTCTTTGGATCCACGTGAAAATCCGATTTTCATTTGAAAGGCTGTTTAGTGGTCTACAAGATTGATCCAATCTACCACACTAAAACCTCGTGTAACGAATTTTAACATAATTGCGCAATTAAAATTAGGAAATAATTTGCCAAAAACAATGTCCTCAGGATCTTTAGGAAGATATTTATCAGGAAGATATTTCCAAAAACAAGTGGAGCATCCTGAAATCGTCAACAATCTTTCAACAATCCTTTGCTTTTAAAAACTTAAATTTTTACGCAAATGGAATAATATTGACCAAGTTGACATTCATTATATGGATATATATTTTTTCACAAAAATCTTTATTTTCAAAAAAGTTATGAAATAAAAAATTGAACGACACGACATAAAACTGAAACAAATTTTTTGAATTATTTAATCCGATAGCAAGGAAACCAGTTTACATTAAAATTACTTTCCTTTCGTCCACAAATCCATTTTAATCCAAAACAAAAACATATTAAACTAACAAAAAATTTTTAACTTTCTATTATTTTTATAATAATCCGATTATAAATATTTTTATGTGTAATAAATAATAAAAGAAATTATTGAATATAAGAAAAAATATTTATATTTTTTCCAATTCATAGCGCAATCGATGTGTTTCAACGTAAATTATCATTAGAATTCCTCCTTATCAATCAACCAATCAGTTATCATTCCTTTTTCATGAACGAACAACGCATGAAACCTGTTGGGAACCTAGTTTTTAAATTTTAAAAATATTAGAAACATTTGAACGAAAAACTTGGAAAATAAATACAAGTGAATGCACCAAGCATAACAATTCTCATGATTCTTTTTATGATATTATTCGAGAATTGGAGTTCCACAATTTTTATAAATTTGCATTTATAAATATAAAACCGAAAGAATGAAATGGCTTTCCATATTAAAAAAAAATTTGAAAAATTCAAGTTGCAATACGAAAAAAAACCTTTCTTTCCTTTCTTCCTTATTTTATTCGGTTATCGATATATTAACAAACATTTGTAAAACCAATTATTCGTCGATAAAACTGCATTATTTTTGAAGGACGTATTTAAAATTCGAAGAGGTTTTATAAAAATATATCAACATTTATAATTATCAATGAAAATATTCTTGATAAGTTTTTTTTAATAAAAATTTTGATAATAAAAACTTATGATTATGGTTGATTGCATATTGCACTATACTATTATATGCTATTATATTTATATCTTTCCTTACTTACCTTATTTAATAAAATTGCTTAATCTAGTTCCGCTGGCTATGAAATAAGATTTCTTTCCCAGACTGCTCGATCAGATGCCATCGCTGATAATAATAGAATCCATTCCTTTTTCCATCGTCTAAGTCCATATATCGCTGGTCACTTTCTAAGTTTTTTCCTAACTACATCATTCCAGGTCTTAATTGGTCCTCTTTGCTTTTGATGTCATCCATCACAAGGTTACGATGTTTTATCAATACAAACGAGCATACGTTCTGCCATGCCATAAAAATATTCTTCACGAATATGAAATTTATCATTTTCGACAGAACTATTCTATACTAACCATCTTCACTCGCAAATAATGACAAATACTAGGTCCATCTATTTTTTATATACATTGTACTAAATGGTTTGTTTTATAAGAATTTTTATTTTTCAAAATTAACGGCTATGTCGATATATACAATTTTCATACCAAAATCGATATCATATTCGTCATATCGATCAAGTAGATAATAGATGGAAATATCAACATTAAGCAGACCAAAAAACTCGTTGGTCTGTTTACCACATTGGTACCAAATTAGGTACCACCTAACAGCCTGTCAATCCGAACTATCGCTATAATCAACTAATGATTTTTTGGACGCAAACTCTTCTTGATCCTTAGCATTTTTGATATCATCTGCATGTGTTGAATGATCACTGATATCAGTTTTTACCTGAAAAGCAAATCAGTTTGATTAATACTATATAGATATAAAAGTTTTAAAAATAATAAATGGTGTAAAGGTAAACTGATCGATATCCATTATAAAATTGCTTTTAGGAAAATATACATGTATATATAAAAACATATAAATATATATATATTATTTCTGGAAATTCATAAATTCTTAAATCATTTTGAGTTGTTTCATTCTACCAGTTTATAAAAATAAATGAAAGGAAAAAATAATATGGGATAAAAGAAAGAACCATGAAGTGACCTCCTGAGATTCGAAATTGCTTTTTGTTAAAGGGTTTGAAGGGCTCTTTATAACAATACCGAGCTGTTTTCGCGCACTGCTTGGACCTTGAAAACTTGAAGGCGAAGAAAAAGCATCTGCGTTGTTGTCTTTTATTTTAATTTGATTCTTCTTCTTCGAAATACGTTCAGTTGATTGATCAGATGATTTTTTCGAGGAAGCAAAAATAGAACGATTTGTGATAGCAAGTCGTGTCGCTTCTCTTTGTTCCTCATATGCTAAAAAAGTTGAATTAAAAGGTCAGTTTCTCTGAAAATATACAAAATAAAAATAGGATAATAATATACATACATTAAATATACATACATTTACTAGGCTGATGAAGCCTGATCAATGAAGCCAACTTTTTATCCTCAGAAGTTTCAGGAAGTAAATTAATGGTAAGGGATGTCCTTTTTCGTAAATCATCGTCTGCTATTTCGCGATCTTTCATTTCTTTCTTCTCGACCTAAAAAAATGACATCTGTAACGACAAACTACATTTGATACTTCATTTATAATAGATTTGTAGCACTTCTTAAATAGACTGGAAAAGTTGATTTTCTTTACTCAGAAAAAAAGCCTAAATAAATGAATAAAAAAATTAGAAATTATTTAAATTTTCAAATTTTAAATTTATGAAGAAAAATTTGAAAAAAAATTTACTCGGAAATTTCGTCTTAAAGCTTGATTTGCAGTAAAATCGTCTCGCATTCGTTCCTGTATCCATTCTAACTTCTCAATCTGATTGGATGCACTCATTCCTTTACCTTTGTCTTCTTCAACATGTTCAACCTAAATCAGTTTTTTAGCAAAATCTCAGAAAGAAAATCTAAGAAAAAAAAAAATTTAGAAATTTTTTCAATAATAATGGCAAATTAATTACTTTTAGCATTTTATTGCTTTCAAGCTGCCAACTAAATCCTCTGTCAACTGCTCCTAACTGATCGATAGTGGATGGATCATATCGCTTTTCCTGTCGACGACATCCTTCCACAAGTTTATAATCGAAATTCCAAAATAAAAACAATATGGAAATAAAAGAGAAGATAATTACACGGTTAAAAATTAACACAAGCTTTTAATTTTGTTAATGACGGTAACTATAAAATTAAAATCGTATATAAAATACCATCAAACAAAATTAACATAATATGTAAATGACAAATACCTCAGGATCAGTGTGTATTGTGAAGTAATTTTCACAAAGATGACATCTCATTCTGAATTCATAAACTGGTGTTGTATGATACATTCCTATTTTCTTCTTTTCCGCATTATAACGTACACCCATTCCAATATGATTATTGCAGCCAAGGCACCAAATATTGAATGGCATCTCGAATCTTTAAATTGACGTATTTAGATATCTTATAAAATAAAAATTGGATAACTAAAACGAAAATCAAAGAATAGTCATAAAATAAAAACATACCTAATGATCAAAATGCCTTGTTTGATTTTTGCAGCGCGTTCACGTAATGCATGTGTTCCATGATAGCTATTTAAAGTTTTATGCTTCTTATAGTCGAAATCTGGTGGGTAATAAAAGTTTTGTCCTTTTCTTTCGCCCATTTTATAATTATTTTACTCTTTATTTCTGAAAAATCCATATTTACTAATGAAAATTAGAAAAAAAATATGAACTGTAAGGTGAGAAAATAAAAACAGAAATATAGAAATATGCATACAAAACCCGAAAAAGTTAATGAATCTAAATTTCGAGAAATCTAAAAAAACTTTTTCGAAAGAAAACTAAATTAAATTAAAAGAAATCAGAAGGGAAAACCTGAACGATGAAAATATATGAAAATTTTCTTTTGCAGCAATTTATTGACCTTCATAGCTTTGAAAATACAAAAAATTGCAAATTGCAAAGATTTGGTGAAAAAAACCAAAACATTGAAATTTTTTGGCTTTTTTCTTCAATTTACCATTTAAATCAAATTCCATTTTTAAAAATTACAACAATATTTATAACAATTCAATATCAATTTGAATAAATAAAAAAATAAGTAGTACCAGTTTTAATGAAAATAAAATATGGCTGACTCTTAACAATTAAATTCTATACAACAAACAATTTTTTCAATACAATATTTTCAGCGAATATAATTACAAGCAAATTTATTTTAAAGAGTCATCACTATTGGTTAAACTTGCTCCACTGGCTTGTCGCATTGGACAAATATGCCAGAGAGTCCCCAGGCGATAGAAATACAGGTGAGTCGCCAACATCACCTAGATTTTTGCACAGGTTTACCTCCGCGGGGAATCGGATCTCAGCATTGGCGCTCCCAATTGAGCAACCCACTGAGCCATTCTACCCCCAATTATAGGCAAATAATCTAATATGAAAAAATAAAAATTAAAGAGACCTGCAGTAATAAAAAAAAACCGCTGAATTCAAGCAAATTCGCAGAATTTAAACAAAAAAAATTACATATTTAACAACGGTTAAAACGTATGTAAAATATCTCCGAGAATAAAAAACCATCAATTATATAATAAAAAGTTATAGCAAAAAAGAAAAAAAATTATTAAAATACTTTCCATTAAAAAATTATTGGTTTGAAGCGAAATTAATTTTTTAAGCTATGGGCCATCTTTTAATAAATTCATAAATTCGCCTTCTTTTCAATTTCACCCAAAAATTACACCTATGTTAGTTTCTGCAAAATGGCAAAAATAAAATGGAATTTTTATTGAAAGATTTAACCAACCGAACTTTTTTCAAGTTTGGAAAGAGATCTGTTTTGAAACTTTTCCCTTTCCTTAGCCGTTAACTTAACTTTTCCAGTTCGTGTATGCCACACGTAAACACTCTGACAAAAATTGGCTCTTGGTTCGAGATCGCTAACTTGTAAATCAAGAGATCTCAAAAAATGCGATTCCTGAAAGAATCGAAAATAGATATATCGATCCTAAAGAATATTAGATGATAGAAAAACTTATAATACATTGGATAACCATAAAATGTCAAAACTGCAACCTGATAACCTCTTGGAACATCATACGAAAACATTGCACTCTTATGGATGTTCACCAATGATAAATTAACAGCAAATGCAGCCATATCGATAGGAAAAGGTCTTTCTGGCTTCCATACTGAATTAAACGACGATACTTTCTTGGAGTCTAGAAAATAGCCAGTATTAATTTGGATTTGCAATTTTTGCCAATTATTACATACATTAATACAAATCCTCTGCGTTCATCCCTCTAGCCAAAACGAAAATCCTACTAAAATTCTTGTTTCACAATAAAATCAACTATTACTTTCATCAACTATTGGAGTTTCAACCAGTAACCCACCAACGATGCCTACAGGCCAAACACCAACTTTTTTAATCTGCCTCATTTCTTCAAATAAGCGCAAATCGTAAGCGTTATCATCATCACCGAAATATACAACACCTTGTTTCAAGCTGCCAAAATTCGTCCTAAATTTCTTGAAATCATTTGAATTAACTCGGAATGACGTTATATATTATGGCAAAGTAAATTTTGAAACTTTAAAATTCCAAAGTTGAACAATTCTGTGAAATTTTTAAAAATCTAAATTGAAAAGAACTAATAATAATCACAAAAATTTCGAAAAGAAAAAAAATATAATATAAAATTACCTAAGCCAACTAAGAGCTGCATTTCGCTGCAAAACACCACGAGGTAACTTCCAGTTCGGATCCGTTTCATTCAATTTTTTATTAGCAGGTGTCAACATAAACAGATGGCTGGACTGAATCCTACTTCGTTGAATAATATTAGCAACAGATTGCGATTTTTCTCTGGCATCCTCTACAACTATCCAAACCAAATTCGGCACATGAACTAAAAGAATAAATAAATAATTTCAATAAGAATAATTTTATATCGACTCATATTTTCTATTCACTTTTGTAATATTGTAATATTGCCAAGAGCCGATGAACCAGCAAGTTTATGTACCTATTTTAACTAAATCTAGTTGGTGCCGAACAAATTATAAAAGTTTTATTAAAATTATGAATAAAAGAATTATAGTTATTATAAGGAATTGTAAAAGTTTTATAAATTTTATAAGTTTTAGGAATTATACCTAATGTTTGAACGAGTCGTGTTAAATCAGCTTTTTGCGTTGGTCGATAATAAGTAGGTGTTATGAAATAGATTACTGGAAGATTGTTCGGATTTTCTGTCATTAGTAATCGATCTCGAATTCTGCAAAACAATCATCAATAAAATGAACGAGGAATAATATAATTTCCGAAAAAAAAATAAAGATATTGATAAAAATAACAATGAATAATTTAATGGAAATACTTAATTTTACGGTTTTGAGAAATTGCTAATTAGGTTTGAATGAGTGAACATGGCAAGAAATGACTGAATGACAATTTACTACAAGCAATTTACCATCAACAACACGCAACGGTTTGTCACATGAATTGATAGCATATGTAAGAAATTTCGAAACATTTCCAAATAATTTCGCAATTTGCATATAATTGGGTAATTTACAACAACTTTTGTTAGTTTACCTGTTTATATGTGTTTGTAAAAACTATATGTAAATAAAAAATGTAAGCAAAAATTCTATCATATTCTAATGCAAGCATTTTATTGCATCTTTTCGAAGAATGTAAGCAAAATTTTGAATATGTCAAAACATAAATTACCAAAAATTCACCAGAAAATTGTTTCTTTATAAATTTGCATTACTTGTGAATGGTACCAACCAAGAATCTATGGAAATTGATTTGATTTGAAATTCAAAGGTCCAGAAAGAAAATAGAGGACAAAAACATACAATAATATATACCATTATATCTAGATCGACGGACAGTGCAAAAATTGAGCGGATAAAACAGTGGGTTGCAAAGACGGTGAAAGACGACGGCGAACTAAATTCTGAATACATGGAGTTCCACCTTTATCTAAAAGACGACGATTGTTCGATTAGGTTTCGACTTACATAAAACACAATAGATTTTTCACTTCCATTTTTTACTTACAAATGGTTTTTATAGAGATACAAAAAAAAACATCGCAAAAAATCCTTTCAACAACTTTTTTCAGGTGTTTTATTCTATTTTCTTACGAAATTATATGCAAAGATTGCGAAAATCATAGGAAAATGTACTGAAATTTTATGGGAAATGTGAAAAATCTTTTATATCAATTAACAATAAAAAATTTTGCCTTAACTAAATAAATATGCCTAATCCTAAGCCTTGGACAAAGGCTTGGCCTGAGCAAAAAAGTATTGTTACTTGATAAGAGTGTCATAGATATATATAAATACTTATCAGCGAAAAGATATATTTTAATTATGTGCTTATAAAAATGTTAAATTTTTTTCCCTTTCTCACGCATGTGCATAGGTATTTTCAACCTTGGATCCTATATCAAAGACCTGGAAGCCTGAGGAGTCCGCATTTTCGCTGTACCCATCCGAATACTCCTCTGGAACTAAGATTCTGGACATATATGTGTGTTATGCGAAAAAGCAGTACCATAACATATTTTCAATCATGGCAACTGTCCACATCTTATAAATTTTTCGCTATTTTAGTTTTCTTTAGCCAAACACTAATAAATATAAAAGTGGAGATGACGAAGTTGTTTTATAATTTATTTTTTATAATTTATTAAGAAAATAAATGAAAAAAATTATTAGTTTAATTTAATAAATTGTAAATTGTAAATTTTAAATAATAAATTAAAATTAAAAAAAAAACAACTAACAAATTATTGATTTTTGAAAGATATTTTTCCATACGATGAATATCTTTTTGTAAATTCCATATTTTAATTTGTAAATTATCGCGTTTTCGTTTAAATGTTTCCAATTCGGCTTCAATAAATAAACGCTTCTCATCGAGATTTTCCAAATTAAACCAAATTATTAGTAATTGAGCCATAAAAAATAATCCAATCGCACAAATAATTTTCCATATTATCGTTCGATCGAACATTTTCATTTATATTTCATTTCAAATGAAATATATGCGAAATATGAAAAGAAAACCTGAAATTAAAAATTGTTGAAAATATCCCAGCGACTTTTTTATTTACAACTGAAATACCAATTTTTTCCGAAAAAATTTTTGACTAAAAGAAAATTTGAAATACCAATTTTTCTGAAAATTTTCGGATAAAAAAAAAATTTGGTTTATAGAAATAATTTTTATTAAATTTATTTCTCTTAAGTTTATTGCTGAAATTAATGATTTATATAAATATTCGCTACTAAAAATAATTTAACAATAATAATAATAAATTAAAAATTGTAAAAATTAAAAATATTAAATTTTAAAGAATTAAAAAAGCACAAATAAGAGGAAAATAAGATAAATAAGAATGAATGGAAAATAAGAATTAATTTTTAATATTTTAAAAATTATACAAAAAACAACTCACCGTATTTCCCCGACCGCCGACCTATTAACAATAACGACTAAATAGCATTTAATTCTCATAAAAAAAAATATGAGCAAACTGCAAAATAGTAATACTACAGCGCTGCGTAAATTTGCTGTTGTCGAAAAGCCGAAGTAAATTTAACTAAATGAGGCGAAGCAGAGAAGTTGGTTCCGCCATTAAATTGGTAGGCTAGAACACCAACAAACCAAAGGTGAAGGTGACGAGGCACCGGTGATTGAATTATATGTTACATGTGTTACAGAGCGGACGTGAAAGCAAAAAGGATTTGGTAATTCTTAGCTTAAAAGGAGTGACAAGATTGCCACTGGAGATCCACCTAAGCAATTCTTTCTTTCTTATCGACTGTTTAGTGCTAATTAAACCTGAAATAGTGCTTTAAATAGTATTTATGACTGCAGAAATCTGCCCTATTTCAGAGTGCCGGTGTTGATTGGTTCTATTCCCGGTAGGAGCAAATCTGCATTTACACCATTCACCACCGCTGCATTTAAATTTAGGCACCGCAACAATGATAAAGAATTACCTTACAGCATTTGCTTTCAGCGACGCATTTTTTTCACATGAAAATTGTTTGAATATATTTATAAGAGGTGTGTATGTGGAATGGCTCAGTGGATTGTTGCTTAATTCGGAGCGCTGGTACCTATTCTACTCTCCATAGGAGTAAACCTGTCCAAAAATCCGAGTGATGCTAGTCACTCACCTGTACTTCTGTCGTCATGGGCTATTTTATACGATGAACCAGCGGAGCTACAAGGTGAATACTCTCAAAAAAAAATGTTTGTAGTTTGTATGTGCTCGGAAAAAAACTCAAAGTTTTCTTTCAAGATCTACCAAATTTTGCAAAAAACTATATTTTATAAATTCAGTGAGATAATTTTAATTATAATTTTGTCTTCTTATCATTCTTTTGTTTTATATATTTTAAATGCTTTTTGTTTCTTACACCAATAATTAGTTTGGTTGGCTCCTCTGGTGACTAGGAAGTTTCCAAGATTCCGGTGCCATGAAAATACCTATAGCCACTTTTTTTCCAGTGCAAATTCTTGTCACACTGGTCCTTCTATACCGTTTAATCTTTCCCTAACGATGTTAGTACATATGTCTCTCAATTGGTTCTCGACTTTTTAACGCCATCCTTCTTAGGGAATATGCATTTCCACTGATGGACAATTAACATTAAGCTAGCCAGCACAGATTTTGTGATTTGGCTTGAATCGCAATCAATCCTCCCTGTCTTTCTGGCGGAAATCCTTAAACGAGATCTTCTGAAATTTTGTCGGTCTTGCCTCAATCTCCTAGGCCTCCGATAGAGGACCCGAGACTGAGGATGATCTATCTTGCCTTAATCTCCTAGGCCTCCGATAGAGGACTCGAAACTGAGGATGATCTGTCTTGGCTTAATATCCTAGGCCTCCAATAGAGGATTCGAGACTGAGGATGATCTATGTTATAAGAGGTTCAGTAACTTTTCCTAGTGGAGAAGTTGGAAGTATTTTAGACAAGAATGGTCAGTAGACAACTTCCTGATATATTCCACTTTCACTGGGAATATTATGCAGTCACAGGATTGCAAATACACAATCGAATTGATATGCAATAGTGATTTTAATAGTGATTTCGCGATGTCCAAAGTGATTTTGCGAAAAAAAAGGAAAAAATTTGGCTCCATTGATCCACTTTTCGCCTGGCTATTAGCTTTTATCGAGGTATATTAACACATTTACTGAATCACCTAATATTTGATATCTATTTAATATCTACTGATATTTGCAATTCCTTGTAAGTGCCAGTGAAAGCATCGACATTCTACCATAATATGCTTCGCCAACATGACAACTCGATTTATAGAGGACAGGAAGAATGGGGAATAGGGGGAGCAAGAGGAGTGGGAGCGGGGAGGGGGTGAGGGGCGAGGGCTGAGGGGGAATATTCTGGTGAATTTGGCTTTGGAGATAACAAATCTAAAAACAATATTCATGCTTATTTCGCAAGTTATTCGACTGGACCAAAGTTCCTCTCCCTTTGTCAAGCGTTTTGAAAAAAAAAAAGATACCGTCTCTGTAAAATATCTAAATCTTTCGATTCTTTCTGCATGGAACCTCTTTTGGATTGATTGCGGATGGATCTCTAGCAACCATTCGGATTTTATTTTAGTTTTCCTATTGGTGTACTCGTGTTAAAAGAAGGTCGCGAAATTTTGGTCGAGATTGTTGTACGCGCATTATGAAATATTTAAAGTTTGAAGCAATGGATATGGAGAAATGTTTCGCTAAATTTGATGAACGCATAATATGGATCAGCTGTAAAACGACGGGGCCAAGCTATAAGGAGGAAATAGTTGAAATTGTATATGTCATTACTGAAGCTAATTTATCGGTTAGCTGATTTCTGCAATAATAAAAGCATTTCCAACTAAATTACTTATTTTTCTTATGTAGAAAAGTTGAGCGGTGATTTTTCTTCCACTGACAGTTTTGAAAATATATATTTCCTTTTATTTTTTAGTTCAAAAAGAAATAGGAAAATTGATAGGTGATAATGATTAAATATAGTTTTTAAATATAGTGATAATGAAAGATTTAAAAAAAAGGAAAATGATAAAGTGATAAAAAATGCCTCTCATTTCGAATCATTACAACTGTAAATACTCAAATAGTTTTGAAGCTAACTAAATTCGTTGCATCTTTTTTGCTGGTTTCATTTAGATTGTTGGTGAACAAATTGATATATTCAGCAAGAGGATGATGTTCTTGCTTATTTGAAGAATTTATATAAGGATTCTTTCGCTGCTAAAGCTCTTTTTGGCAGATTAAATCCAGCATTACTTCAGTAAAAGAAATGGAAACACAAGTTCTTTTATTTTTTATCGATGGAATTTATTGGGGCCACCTTTCTGGTTTGTATTCTTTTGTGCTTCTATCACCACTTATGTGTATTTATTTTTTGCGACATGTCAACTGCTCTGCTTTATAACGGAGATGTTAGAAGGAATTTTCCAGCTTCTGAATTTTTTGCATGCATATCTTTTCTCTTTTTTGTAATCATTTTGAGTCCGGAATTGTACCGCAGAGTTATCTCCAGTTGAGAGATGCATTTCTCCCTGCGTTGAAGCATTGAACCGCTAATTATTTCTCATTTTAATCTTTTTCATATGTATAACCTATGAGGCTACTATTGACACCCGGTTAACTCCAGATTATCGTATCCTGTTCCTGCAAAGTTTCCAGCAACTCTTCCAGGTTCCGGGATCCCATCTAGAGCAATTCCAGTGGCCTACTTACTACTTAGATAATAACAGTTCTCTAAGAGCTGACGCGTTAATTGGACGACACTCTGATATTTGAAATAGGGCATATTTTCAAAAGGTCTTGTTCAAGGCCTCACCGGGAAGTTAGATAGGCTTGGCTATTATCGAAGCACTGATATTCAATATTAACCAATACTCTGCACTTTTTTTATTTGTAAAATGAACGTATTTTTCTCGAGATAAGGCTGAAGTAATTCCAGTGATAATTGGAGCACTTGGTTAATTCAAGGTTGAGGATAATCCTAACTACTAGGGGAACGAGAAATCTTAAAGGGCAAAGCTATATTTATTTTTATATTTTTTCCCAATTTTCGCAATTTTTCTGTCCGATACTTAATCATCTGACGAAATATACGAGGAAGGGAAAGTGCCCTTTGGCCGGAAATAGTGTCAGTGTTGATCGAATGTTCATCAACCGAGAAATGCAAAACCTCGCAGCGCATCTTCATTATCGAACAATTGATGTGGCCAGTTTTAATGAGGTAAATTTTAAGAAATTTCTTTTTCATTTTATAAAATCGCATTAATTTCAAGTATTCTCCCATTACTCTCCGTTTTACTGCGTTTTAAAATAATCACTAAGGCATTTATCGCAAATCGTCAAAAGATGGTATCCAGAAAAATATGCTTCGATGCCGGCAAAAAGTGGAAAACATCGCGCTCTTGACGGAATACTTGAAAGTATTCAAGAATTAAAGTGGTATTGCCAGAATGTTTTCGAGAAAACGAAGATTCCTGTGCAGTTGTTACTTTAATTATATTAACTCATACTGATTCTAAGCTCATAAACATGACACGTAAAATACGTAAACACAGACGTCATATTTGGATATTAATGGGAAAACGACACAGTTAATTTTTCATTTGAAAGTCTAAAAATTTTTATAAATTTTGTCCAACTTTATCGGCAGGCTGATTAATAATAATATCATATCTTCCCGTGAGCAAATGGAGATTTTCAAAAGTCACAGAAGTAAGATTTTAAAGGGTATTTCGGAGCCGACTTTATTGAAGCAGTGTAGTACCATAGATGAGCAAAAGAAGAATTCTGTGATTATGTATTTAACAACTCCGAAAAAAAATTTCGCAAGCTAAAGTTTTCTATCAGCCTTATGTTTTTGAGTTTATCAGCTTTTTATCACTATAAATTTTTATCGCAAATTCTCGTATTTTCAAAGCCAATACTATTGAAGTACCACAAGAATACCACAGAGGAGGAAGATAAACGTGTATCAAGTTTCAAAATTCAATCCGATCCTTATAAATATTATTGTTGTTAATTTGTTAATTTTCCAGTGTCATTTTTTATCTTTTATCAGAATCGTGATAAATATTTCTTCTATCTTGTGTCACAGTCATAAGGGTGTATTTTTATCTTTTGTCAACAAAAATATTTGTAAAGAAAATTGCAAGAAATATAAATGCAAAAACTTGGATTATCGAAAATTTGGAGAATTTTGTGACGAGCAATTTAGCATTTTTCTTCTGTGAAACCATCGCTTTAGGCGAACTTTAAATTTATAAAAAAAATTAAAAAAAAAAAGGATAAATTTATAAAAACGAACAATGGGATGCGGAAAAATTTTATGAAATAATGTATTCAACGTATAAGTCAATATACTTGCTGGCATTCACAAAAACCCATATACAGCTGACTGGGCCGGTCATCCCTTCAGAATTTCTCCTTAAACGTTCTGGAACCAGGCGGAAGAGGGGTGTTCGGTGCCACTTTCAATGCCACTCACTAAGGTTTATTGAAAATTAAGGTTTATTTGAAGATATAAATATGATGGTTGATGAAGTGCTTGCTTCTAAATATTATAGTTTTATTAAGTGAAATTAGGTTCTAAATTCTCCATATTCTCTAACAATTCAGAGATAAGAGTTCACTCACCATTACTGCTTGAATTCGATCCTCTGGCTTGTCGCCGTGGATATATCCCATGGAGTACTCCGTCAGTATCGCCCGGTGGCATTATCGCACAACGGAGAGGAAACAAAGGAGAATAGTTCAGTGGTTTGTTGTTCATTTCAGAGCGCCAATGTTGAGGTTCTCCCTGATGGAGTAAATCTGTCCGTCTGATGGTGGCTACTGTTATTCCTGTCACCAAACAAATTCAACAAGTTTATAAATTTTGTGCCATGTGGTACTTATTTGAACATATTAAAGCAAAATACCAACATTATAAGCCCCGACTAGCCAATTGGCCAATTGCCCTATGAACTTAGATGAAATTATTTTCCAGGTAATTGGTGTGAAAAAAAAAGCGAAAGCGAAAAAAGTATTGAAAAAAAAAGCGAAGTCCTCCAAGATGATTAAACGCATTTAATTTCATTTTGAAAGAATCGGAAAGGAAATCCATGGATTTCTTAAAATATTACAATCTACATTGCTTGAAATTTGCAAAAAATTTTCCATGAAGATTTTTAATGAATGGTGGAGGAGTGGTGAAAAATTTTTAGAAGAGAATTCTACAAATTCCTATAAAAAAATTTTCATTTTCAATGAATTTTACTTTAACTGCCACGAGGCTTGGATTCGAATCCACCGAGGAAGCGCTCTTCACGTGTTGCCTAACGGAGAACAGAGAGAGTGAATAGAATGACCCGATGGGTTGTTGCTCTTGTCCGACAATCTTAAGAAAGGCCTCATCTCCCTTATATTTTTCAATTACGCAATAGTATGGGTTATGAAGATGGATGAACTGATGAATTGATGGATAATCTTGCGGTATCCTCAAAGCCTTCTTAAAGCACGTTGAATAATTCCAGCACTGTCGGGCTCATATTCTTTTATTATTAATATTGACATCACTGACCTATTTTTATCACCATTCCTCTCAAACTCATTGGTAGTTATGGCAACACTACTTTAAGCCTTAAAAACCTCGCCAAATTCAGAAATTCAATTTGGTGGTGAGAGGAGGCCCTCTGGCCAATCAGAGAGGACAATCACATTCAAATTTACTGTGCAAATTAATCAGCTGGACCAAAGTTTAAATATTCCATGTTATTCTGTAGAGAAATATTTTTCGGGCGCCATCGCTTGTTTATTGCTTGTCTAAACAGTCCTCAAATTTTGGTTAATATCTCTTTCTCGTGCTTCCTCAGATCATTTAGGCTACTGTATGTGATGGTGTACGGTCGACAGATACTGAGTGAGTAGCGGTGTGTTATGCATGCTTGTCGTTGAAGTCAATTTTAATTCATTCTCCATAAATAAATGATTTCTGGGATTTCAATCGTTGTCTTCCACTCGTAAATTCATAATTTCATTCTTTACCTCACCAGTTCTGAGGTTTCAATTTGGCTGACCGCGGTGAAAAAATATCTTATAAACTGTTTAAAGCTCTAGTGGGAACATATCCGAATGAAAACTTTGGCAACAAAACGTTTATTCCCAAATTTTTATAAAAAGGTGTCAAGCGTTTTGAAGAAAAAAAAAGGTACCGTCTCCGTAAAATATTGAATTGATTGTGGAATACTGATACATCTTCAGCAGCCACTCGGATTTTAGGTTTACTCGCGCTAAAAGAAGAGACGAACGAATTTCGTATTCACAGAGATGTTGTGAAAATCTCATGCAATTTTATGTTTCATGCTTTAAGAGTTCGCTAAAGGAGAATAATGCAACGAGCAATAATTGAAAAAAATGATGCGATGATTGTGAATTGGAGTCAGAACTGGTTATCTGCCCGTGATAAACGCATAATATGGATCGACTGTGAAATGACGGGGTTACGCCGTAAGGACAAAATAATTGAAATCGCCTGTGTCGTTAGTGAGCCGATTTAACGGTTCTCTGAATACATTACTCATTTTTTTTTTGTATAAGATTGAACGGTGACTTCACATAAATTCTTAGGATTTGATTTTACGTGGAAATTTGTCTTTAAGTGAAGGCTTCTACAGATTCAGTGAAATATTCATTTCTCGATGATTTATCGAACCACTCAACTCTCTCCCCCCTCCCAGCGCACGTTTTGCGATTTATGAGTCCAAAATTTTTTGGTATTTTTCAATTCAAACAGAAACAAGAAAAATACCGAGATTAAATGGTAATGATTAAATAAGTTTTTTAATACAGTGATAATAAAAAAATTAAAAAAAGAGTTGATAGGAGTGATAAAATGATAAAAAATACTTCACATTTCGTATCATTGATACTGTAAATACTGAAGTAATTTGGAAATTAAATTCGTTTTTCTGCTAATTTTTAGATTGTCGGTGAGCAAATTGATATAGTTGTCCACCAACCTGAAAATGTTCTTGCAGATATGAAGGTATGGCATAAGAACACTTTCGCTGCTAATGGTCTTCTTGATAGTATCAGATCCAACAGAATCTCAAGAATCTCAATAAAAGAAGCAGAAAAACAAGTTCTTTTTTTTTGTGCAAAGTGAAAATCATTCGCATGGGTGATAGGGACCAATGTCAACTCCGAGTCCCTCGTTAGAAGCCTAAGAGTTCGAGAGCTCTGCTCTAATTGTTCCTGAAAATGCGCCTTTCCAATGTTGCTCGTGGAGCCATTTTTCTAGTTACAATCCGTTCTGGTCCTATAACCACTGGGACTACTTTTTATTTTTACTTTCCACTTCTTCCACTTCTTCTCTAGGCTTTTCTTTCAGCCACTGGTATTTGTCTAGCCTTTCATATCTCTTTTATCTAATATTCCTTTTAATACTTGATACATATTTTCACCAGTTTCTGGTTCTTGTCTATGATATCTGGTTAATTGACTGGTATTTCTTTGTCGGGGTGAGCGAGAAATCCCGCAGAGCTTGGCATTACTGATCTCCGCGATTTTCATGGTGATCCGCCATCTGATCCTGCAAGGATTTATGCCATATTCTTTATTCCTTTCAATAGATAGACAATGCTCTTATTCCTTTCATTCATTGTTGTTCTCATACCCTCATCTTACAACTAACCACCATGTCTCGAAGAATTTCTCAGGCTTTTTTATTCAGATTGTGCCAGACTTCAATATCTTTTATACAGACTGGCTTCCTTATCTTTTATAACAGGTCTGTGCTTCAGTGGATGCACTTTAGTATGTGCACCTATGATCAATGGGTTAATGCTGTCTTTTAGTCCAGCTTTTTTTAAACAGTGGTAAAATTTCTCATTATCAATTACTTTATGTTGATGGTACATCCCATGGAGAGTTTTGCTTTGCATTTTTTCCTGCTCGGTCCTTCCATTGCTTGTTGGTTCTTTATGCGTTCTTCCAGCATTCGTTTCACTACTGTGATCAAGCTGTGATCAAGGCGATTGAGCCATATAAGAAACATGTTGGTAGTCTAAGTGCAGCTCATTAGATCGCATGCTGTGATAGTGCCAACAAATTATTTCTTTTTTGAAGTGCAAAACTAGATCTATTTTATTTTTATATTTTTTCCCAATTTTCGCAATTCTTCTGTCAGATACTCAATCATCTGACGAAATATACGAGGAAGGGAAAGTGCCCTTTGGCCGGAAATAGTGTCAGTGTTGATCGAATGTTCATCAACCGAGAAATGCAAAACCTCGCAGCGCATCTTCATTATCGAACAATTGATGTGGCCAGTTTTAATGAGGTAAATTTTAAGAAATTTCTTTTTCATTTTATAAAATCGCATTAATTTCAAGTATTCTCCCATTACTCTCCGTTTTACTGCGTTTAAAATAATCACTAAGGCATTTATCGCAGATCGTCAAAAGATGGTATCCAGAAAAATATGCTTCGATGCCGGCAAAAAGTGGAAAACATCGCGCTCTTGACGGAATACTTGAAAGTATTCAAGAATTGACGTGGTATTGCCGGAATGTTTTCGCGGAAACGGAGATTCCCGTGCAGTTCTTACTTTAAGTACATTCATTCATACTGATTCTATGCTCATAATTATATGACACGTAAAACACGTAAATTAGACGAGATATTTGAACATATGAAAGATCAAAAATTTTAAACAACTTTATTGGCAAGCTGTTCAGTGATAGCATCGTGTTTCCTGCCATAAGCGAACAGGACATTTTGCATTCATTCAGAACTGAAAGACTGCGTTTTTCTTCCAAGTTGATGAAAACTGCACGGGAGGGTTCAGATGAAAAGTGCCAAAAACCCATACCTCTGTGAGCAAATCGAGACTTTCGAAAGCGTAGAGGAGGGATTTTAAAGGACATTTCGAAGCGTGAATGTATTTTTTAAAGCAGTAGTACCACTGATGAGCTGAGGCGTTTGTCATTGTGGTATTTTTTCGTGTGTTTTACCTATTTACTATTAATATTTCTAAAAAAAAGTATCGGAAGCTAAAATTTTCTATTTGCCGTATGTTGTTGACTTATCAATCTTTTATCACCTTAAATTTTTTTCTTAAATTTATTTTCGAAGCCAATAATACTGTTAAAACAACATCGAGGAGGAAAATACGAGAGACTGTGTTTTAAGTTTTAAAATTCGATTTTTACAAAATAAATATTTTTTATTGATTTAATTTTCTATTTTATATATTTTTATGAGTTTAATTATATAGTTTTTATATTTGTAAATATTTTTTATCTATTTTTTATCTATCACAATCATAATAAAAAAATTTGTAAAGAAAACAGCAAGAAAATGAATGTTGGATCATTGGAAATTTGGGGAATTTTCGATAAAAGCAATTTGGTAGTTTACTTCTGTGGATCTATCGCCTTAGGGAAATTTATTCATCTGTTTATTTCTAAAAATCCACGGGTTTTTTTCAGTATTTTAAAGTGAAAGGAAACGCCTCATCGTCTTGAAGGATTTTTTCTTCCTTTCAATAGAACAAGAGCCATTTTTCAGCAAAACAATTTCATCAAACTTCATGGGACGATTGGCCACTAAATGGAGGCTATATTAGCAGTATTCTGCTTCTGCTTAATAACGTTCAAGCACTTTAGTACCACATGGCCGGGAATTTACGGACTCGTAAAATAAGAAGTTCCTAATGTTCCATCGGTGCATTGGTGGCTTAGTGATAAGAGCATTGCCACAGGCTTGAGTTCGAAACTCCTCGGGGGGTTGACTCTAAAATTCGTCAGTCCCAGTAGAGTAAATCTGACCAAAAATCCGGCTATAGCTAATTTAGTTCTTATGTTTCTGCCATATTCCTTTAAAATTTTTACCACTCCAAACATTCGTCCATACTCATTGCGATTGTTTGTACGACGTAGTGAGCTGCCATCTAATATACCGCTTCAGCCATTCGAAAGTTGATCCCACAATCTTGCGAGGTTCCTCAATCTCCCCTATAGTTTTCAATCAAGCGACAATTTCTGGGTTAAAAACATAGATGAACGATGAATTGACGGATAATCCTGTGGTATCCTCAAGGTCCTCCAAGAACTCGTTGACAATTCCAGCACTATCGTAATCACCATCACACCTATTTTTACCACTTCATTCCTCTCACTTGGTAACACCATCGAGCCCAACTCTGCACCCTTAAAACCTCGCCAGATTTCGAAATCCTGTGGGGAAGGGGACTGCTGTGGTGAATCAGGCAGTACTGGATTAAAGTTCGGATGTTCCATGTTATTCTGTAGAGAAATAGTTTTCGGCGCCATCGATTGTTTATGTCTCAACACTCCTCAAATTTTCGTGAATAAGGCCATTGAAATGACTGCGTGAATTTTTGCGCTCAATAGTTCTGGTTTGGTTTGGCTTCTACGAATGAGTTTTTCGCCAGAGAGTCACTGGGAGTACTGGAAGTCCCAGTAACCAGGTTCGACCACCAACAACAAATCTACTCCTGCCACGCCATAATCCTGAAGATTCAAGCACTGCGCCCGAGTGTCACAACAAACCCCGTGAATCGTTGGAATCCCATCGGATTAGAGTGCTGTTATAGTTGAAATCGAGGCGTATATCGTAGTCATTTAAATTTTCTTGTCGCCTGATTATCAGGATCAATCGATAAATGGACTGGATATTCGCCAAGTTTCAAATTATTCCTCGTGCAGATAATCGTCGATGTTGGTTTATTCAAGGCTGGTGAAAGGAATGTATGGGGTCATAGGTCGTGGGTCAATGGTTTAAAACCTTCGCCTACTTCAAAAATCTCACTGTCGTCCGTAAATCGCGTTATGAGCGCTTTTCTTTGGTTATTGTTCTTTATCGAGAGTATTTCTTTCTTTTTTATGTTTTGTATTCCTATGATCTTTGTTTTTTGGGAATCCGCTAGTTGTTTTTGATATTTTAGCCGACTTTTTTTTGTTTCTCTTCATTCAATTACTTTCTTCATAAGAAAAAGCCATTTCTGTCTTTTTCTTTTTCCTTTCCACCATTTATGTAAAAAAAATTGGAGTTAAATTGAGTTATCGAACTTTGTTATTGAATAATATGAATGCGATTTCATTTATGGGTTTATTTTGTTTTTTCTTCGTCTTATAAATTTCTTTTTTTTGCTTGATTTTAAGCGCCAATAAATAATTTCTCTTCGAACAAATGGTTCATCACGTGAATATCATTTATAGTTTAAATATTCACGAATTTACCTATGAGATTGGCGCAGAGGAGTATCGGCACGCTGAAATTTTTTGTTTGATATTTGATATTTTTGCTTTTAGATATTTGATAAAATTGTTTTTATGGACGTAATTTAAACGTGGAAGAGAACGTTTTGGAAATATTGAACGATGTTTGCACAACAACCAAAAGGACCACCGATTCCACGACCGCAGCAAAACCTTACAAGCCAAAGTGAACAAGTAGGTAAAGAAAAGTAGGTTTTTCTTCATGGTTTTTTCCTTGTTTTTGATTGATTTCACCGATATAGCGATCATTTTCGTTTCAATTATGTTCCTTTACATTTAATCTATGAAATCTTTTATCGTGATTTTCTCGAAATTTAATAAATTAAAAGGAGAAAAAATTTAAATATTTCTTAATAAAAAAATATTCTAGTTAAAATATTCTAAAATTAAGGAATTTTTGAAAATATTTCGCCTCATTAAACGATTGAATTTGGAAAGGATTTTTTGATTTATTTTTGCCATTTAGAACTTTTTATTCTGGTTTTCTAAACTTGTTTGGCTTTTATTGAACCGTGGACGTTCTTATATATTCTACCACTGATATGTCGAAATTTGATCTAGAAATATATGCACTTTATTTTTCTAGGAAAATTCATTTATATTTTAGATTGGCTGGCTTCGTTTATGAGTATTTAGTGCATAGTGGAGCTACAAAAACTGCAGAATCATTTAAAGGAGAAGTGCTATCAGTATGATTTTTTAAAAAAATGATATGATCGTTTTAAAAATTTTGATAAAAATTATTTAAAAATTAAGCATAGTATGGTATATTCACATTTTCATTCAGAGTTTTAAAATAAGCATTAGTTTCCTGATGTTATGTTTATTATTATGAAATCTTATTTGCATCGTTAGAATAAGGTTCCGAAGAGGATAAAATATTAGTTCTTTATGTTGAACTTTTACAAATTTTTTTTCTTATTAAATCATGAATCTAAGTTGCAAGATGTTCCTCACTTCTCATGTTTCATTTGGTTTAAATTGCAACTGTTTGATCTTTCCTTCCATCTGTGGCTTTTTCAGAATTGCCAGGCTTTTCTGCAACAGAATAACGTTTCAAAGCAAATCAGTATTGGCGATGCTCCAGGTTTTCTTCAGAATTGGTTTTTGTAAGTTTTTACGTTTTTTCAAGATTGTTCAATCGCTTTTTCTTTTTGTTAGAAAATTAATTGCACAAAGCCATATGAGTTTCATTTTCTAAAAAAAAATGGAAAATTGAAATGAATTTCATTTTAGGGCATAATATCTATATTGAATCTCTTAATTTAAGCAGTTATTTTTGGTTTTAACCAAATTCCTGAAATTCGTGAATGTAACGTTTACCCTAGATTTTATAAACTATAAAGATTTGAAGTATTTTTTAAATAAACTTTAAATTTTCAAGGAAATTAAATTTTTATTTATCTTTTTATCAAGCATTTTTTTTAAATATGAAAATCAAATTTCCACTCTTTTTTGCATTGTATAGTTCAAAAAACGGAAAAAAGAAATGTGCAAACTTATCTTCAGGCTATTCATTTATTACTGAGTCTACGATTCTTCATATTGGTATACGATTCTTGCACTCTATAATTTTAATATTTTAGAAGAATGTGCTTAAATATTGGAACTTTTAGATTATTTTGGGACTTGTATTCAGCGGCCCCTGAAAGAAGGGATCAATGTGAACCTTCGCAGGAAGCAAAGGCTTTTCATGAATACGTAAATAATTTTGTTGTTTGGGTGGTGGATGGATTTTTTGTCAAGATTTTCATATTAGTAAAGGGAAGATTCAATAATGGATGTGTTACTGTTCGTAAATTCTTATCATTTCCGATTTTTAATTTAGGGGTTCATGAATGCGAATCATGGTGTACCACCTGGTCCCGCTGGAGCACCAATGATAAATGGAATCCATGGTTCACATCTGGTTGAATTTTTTATTTTTTAAATTTTTTAGCTTTACCAAGAATTTTGTAGAAAGAGCACCACAATTTCTTTTAAAATTTTTTTGGAGTCATTATAGTTTTCTAAAGATTTTTTAGACGCATCTTAATTAAGTTTTCAATTTTATTAACCATTTACTATCTCTTAAATTGGTTTAGAATCTTTGTTAGTTGTGTACTCGTTTTATTCTTTTTCTTTGGGCATTAAAATTTACAAATTTTATGAGCTCGCTGATGGTTTTTTACTATTTCTTGGAGAGTTAATACATAAAAAGATAATTTTTATTTGTTTATTAAAATGGCAAAATATGTAATGTGATTGGGTTGGTGCAAAATATTTGGCCTAAATGAAAATAGGATAGAAAGAAGACCAAAAGCCAATAAATATTTAAATCAAGAAAGTAGATGGTAGTGCAAATGAAAGAATTTTGATTTGGCAATTTGAAATGAATGATGGAATAAAGATATGGCATTTGTATTGTTGTGATGGATGAAAAGGTTAGGTTTCTATACAAATATATGTATGTGTAGGAGGAAGAAGATAGATTTGGATATGAAGGATGATTAGTGATTAAACTACATACAAACAAACAACCGTTAATAGAAAAGAGATGGTTAGTTAGTATTAGGGTGGGCAAATAAGAAATTGAGAAAATTGAGATGTGGAAGGAAACGGAGTGGAGAATAGATGAGGATGAGAATTAGTGGCAGAAAATAGTATGTACGAGCATAACGATGATGACGACGACGACAACAACATTGAGAACATTGATGATGAATTGGGTGATTACTGAAAGTAGAACGATTTTGAAGAGAGTGATGAACGAAGATTGCATTTATTTAGTTTGCTATGTTATTTCGTTTTTGCGTTTATGCAGTAAACTGGAACAAGAGGGAAAAGGGGATTTTCCTGAGAAATGGAAATGGTGGTGTCGGGACTTTGTGAATTAAAAAGACAAAAGTTGTCAAATGTTTTTTTTGATGAATTATTTAATGGTCATCGATCATTTTCCTTTCGTTCTTCCGTATGAAGTTTCCTTTTACGAAAGAATATAGATAAGGGAATTATTTTGTGATGATCATGCATCTTTATGTTAAGATTTATCAAATATTTAAATAAGCACTTAAATACAATTATCAAAAATAATATGTGAAAGTTAATCATAACAGCCAATAAATAGGACCATAAATAAATTTGAATAAATTTTAGAAAAAATAGAATATCTACAAAGTTTTTGATAAATTTCGTTCTAAATAAATACATGTGTGAGAGCACAGATTGAGAATTTCCATTTGGTAAAAATTTTAGGAAAAGGTTTTTTCATTATCTGTTTATCTGTAATGATTGTTTAAAGGAAGGGAGAATATTAATGGTTTTTCTATATCAAGTATATCGAGTTACTTTCTTTAAGAGGCGTGAGCATGTCAGAATTCCTGATGGTTTTGAGAATCAATCTGTATTTTTATTTTCCAAATGACTATTAGGGGGAATTTATCTTATCCTATTTACGACAATTTGAACGAATTTGTGAATATTATCGACTTAATTTTTACTTGTGGACTTTGTCGATATTCTGTCATTTTAAAGTAAAGTTAGCTTTGACATTCGTTCTGCTTTTTGTTCTTTAAGTGGATTAAAGTAGCTTCCTCTCTATCGGTTTTTTAAGATTAAGAGGAATCAAAAAATTTTCTATAATGGTAAGATTGATGTTTTTACGTCGTTGAATCTTTTAAAGTTCACATATTTATTTGTGAAATAAATATTTGTAATAATAGGCAGAGTGAATGATATTTATAATAATAATAAAGAATAAGAGCAAATACTCATATCCTATGTCCTATTTCTAATTTAAATTTAAATAACATTGCAATTTTTTTCTACTAGTCCATTTTTTTCCAAGATTTAGAACCAAAGGAATGTTTCAGTTTCCATCAGCAGCACCAAGCCCGCTGGGAATGGGGCCTGGTCCTGGGCCTGATGGAATGATGGCTGCGGGCTACTATCCTCCACGTTCTGGGCAACCAGGACCATCAGGATCGACCAGTCAAGCATCACCAATTTCTGGTAATGATTTCTTACAACCTTATTGTTATATGTTAATTTGACAAAAGAATGATTTTTGTAATTTAGAATATTTAGGAAATTTTGCTCCGGTACCTCCCCGATATGGCATGCCAGGAGTAAGGAGTGGACCACCAGGTCCTGGAGGGATACCACCGGGTGCTGGATTTCCTGGTGGAGCACCGCATATGTTCGGTGATCAAATGCGACCAATGCAACCACAGCGTCTACCTCCTAGTGCAGGCCCAATGCGCATGCCTACGGTAAAATAATTTTTTTAGGGTTTATACTTTTTTAATATTTTTTTAGGGTTTAAGTTTTTAGGGTTTAAGTAAATTTTTTTAAGTTTTTTCAGTTTTTTGTTTTTTATTGTTATTAACTTGTTTTTTTTTTATAGAATTTTCCTGGAATGCGGCCGAATGGTCCGATGCGATATGGCTCGCAAATGTATATGGATTCTCCAACTGGAACACCGTTTGCCCCTGTAAGTTTTAAAGTTTTTAATATAGTAATATAATATTAAAAATGAGGGATTCAAAATACCGGGAGGCCGATAAATTAAATTCGATTATTCAGAACGCGATGATGCCTAACGGTGCGATGTGTTCTTCGGCTCCTTCAATGATGTCCTCGCCTGGTCCTCAGGCTCCTATGCCGACAGGTCCTGATGGGCAACCAGATCCGAGAAGTTATATGATGATGTCATCAACTTCAAGCATGCCGGTTTGGCCTTACCATTCTCAAAGAAAAGGATTCCTTTTTTCTTTAGATTATTAAAAGATCTTTCGTAGTCAGTGTTATTAAAAAGTATCGATTATTTCAGTACGGTGTTCATGGTTCAGATGGCAGTATGACTCCTGGTGCGGGGGGTCGGGGGTCGGCGGGTCCTCAGGGTCCTGGATCTGAGTCGCAGATGGTGTCTTTACTTAATGGCGACGAAATGAAGTCTTCACCTGCCTCAACTCAGGGTGGGTTAAATGGCGGTACGCCCGGAACAGCTGGTGGGCCTGGTAAAATATTTTTTATGCTTTTAAAATCAATATTCAACGATTTGTTTTAAATAACATCGGATTTCGGGTTATGTTCCCAAGAGCATAACTTCCCTTTAACTTTTACTAATAACTTTTACTACTACTAATAATTATTAGTAATGTAAGTCCTCTAGCCATATATTTTCCAGGAATAATTGCGTAAAATTTTCATTGACGGGGATCAGTATAGCATTTTTAATTTGTACTGATTTCATTCTTCAGTGAATTGTTATTAATAGAAAAGTAGTAAACACTCGTTTATCGTAAATAAATGGCACTGATCATAGATCTGCCATTTCTCCAATGCAATTTGCACTCATCTCTCATAGTAATTAAGCTTATTTCCTCATCAAAAATTTAAAATCCAGAAGTAGTTTCAAAATTTTGTGGTCTATTGACTGATTTTCATTGTTATCGCGGCAATTAATTTATTTTTTCAAATATTTGAAGGTAGTCAAGCGGCAGTCGGTGGACCTGGATCAGTAGCTGGGGCTGGCGTTGGTGGGCCGAGTTCTGTTCAGTCACAAAGTGGTGGTTCAGTTGGTGGTGGTGGTGGTGCTGGGCAGGCTGTTGGTCCCGGAGGAGGGACTACTGGTGGAGATGGGCAAGTTTGTATTTTCATTCATTTATTATGAAGAGGAATTAAAAAATTAATTAATACTCATTCTTTCGGGAAAATTAATTATAATGACAATTAGCGAAATTCACAAAAAGTGGCATTTCTGGAAATCTCCTGGTAGTTGAACATCTTGTCGGATCAGCCCAACGACCCTCTATGAATTGACAAATTTCTGACTGAATTTCGAACTAAATATGAAATTTGCTAAACGTTAAATAAATCATTGCGTCGCTTCGCCTATCTTTACTTGGGACTTTATTTGCAGTAAAGCTAACATTTAATTACAGTTGATTATGAAGAACAAATCTTTTAGGATGAAGCCGAAATTTCGAAAATCAAGCAAAGTTTATTTGATGGTTTGAATTTGAAGCCTTTTAACGCAAAAGAAGAAGGAGGTATTTTTTTTTCCACTTTTTCCCTCGTTTTGTGAATCTCACATTACTAATAACTGGAACTTCCGAGCAAACGTTATCCAGTGTTCTTACAGTTTAGTTTCCACATATTGTTAATTTACTCGTGAACTGTTTATTTCAGCGTGGTAAATATCATCATAATTTATGTGAATAGTATAATATGGATTTGTAAAACAGTTCTTGAAAAGTTCGAAACGTAGAGAAATCACTTGTTTAAACGCTCCTAAGCAGTACAAAATTTTGATTTTTTGCTTGAAGTGCGCCAGTCAGTTTTTTTCAGTGCTGTGAGAATATTGTTTTTATTTCTATATGAAAATTAATGGGCTAATTTCCCTTTCAAGTTTTTTCCCATATTTTTTTCATATTCCAAATAAAAAAATTATATTTATTTTATATTTTTGAAACTATCAGTGCTGAGTTTCAGTCGGTTTTCATAGCATTTTTTACTTTCAGAAATTTTGGAAAATTTATTTCAACTGCATTTTAATTTTATTATTACTATTATATTTGTTGTTTTCTATTATTATTATTATTTCGATTATTCATATTATTTTTTCATTTTGCATTATTATCACCAAGAGTTTCCATTGTTTTTAGAAAATAGTTTGCACAATATATTATTCATTTTATTCATCACTAATTTAATTATTGATGTCATTAAATTATTATTGATCGCTAATTTTGATTAACACCGAATATATTGTTTGTAAATACGTTTTGAAATAATTTATTCGGTCCAAATAAGCCCGGAAACTAAGTAGCTGGGAGATTTCCTTAAATATTTCTGTGTTTTTTAGAAATATATTTACTATATGTTATTTAAAGAAGGTAATTGAGATAGAGAAAAAAACCTAATGAGAGAAATCTCTCAACTCTCATCAAATTCAGCTGATTATGCTTAAATACATCTGTAACTTGGTTATTGATGTATTTATTATTTCTTGTTTCGCATATTATGGTTAATTGATCTTCTCATTGTATTCCGATTTTTCTTCAATTTAATAGCATAGGAAGGAGAAGTAATTTTTTTGTTCTTCTGATAAAAACTATTAGAATTATTGAAAATTTTGCCTTATAGAAGGCCAAAAGCAAGTTCCATTGTTTTGGATTTGTACATTTTGATTTTTTTATTTTGACAAAGTGGATATCTAGAGCTATATATGAAGATATTTCACTGAATGCAAATTACTGGCATAGAAAAGATTTATTTTCAGTTTCTTGAACGTTTATCTGATTGAAGAGAAGCGTCGTCTTTAAATGATATTTTTCGGCACTTCATTGATTGTTTGTCTATCTTCAGAGTTTTATACAATTTGTCTGTCTTGATTTTTTTATCATGAGACCCGGTCAAAATCCAAACACAAATATTATAACCTCATCACTGTTTTTGTATAGATTTTTTTCGTTTACATGTCGAACGTAAGCAAAATTCGCCTATCCGATTATGAACTCTTATCCAATTGTTTCAGGGGTTACCTCATTTCCTCTTATTTTTAGGTACTCCACTATTCTTTTGTGTTGTAATCTTTTGAAATTCGAATTCCATGAAAAGATTAAGAATTCTGGAATCACGAACAAATGAATTTATAAATTTGTTGTCTGGAAATTTCATCAGCCCGTTCTTTGAATTTAAATTAATATTTTTAATGGAATTTCATTAAAAAAAGAGGGAAAACACTTTGGAATGGAAATGGGAGCTCGAGAAGAATGGTTTTTTTACGAGTTCGATTTTGTGGACCTTTTAGGTTTGAGAATATTTTGATATTACAGAAATCTCATAGATTTTTCGCATTTTTTTATTGGATAAGAATCTGATCTGCTGGCCACCTGGTGTGGTTAACTTCACTTTTTTAGACCAAATAACAATTTTTCTTGGAACATTTTCTTGCAAGGAAGTTAATTCTTGATTGTTTTTTCAACTTTAAGTTTTGATATTTTGGATCTAATATTTTCTTCGAAAGCTTTTAGAATAGTTTTAATTTGCGTTATAGTTATTGCTGTGTTGTATTCTATATTTGGGATGGTGCAAGGGATTTCCTGTCCCAAAATGATTTTTTGTGTGGTCTCACTCATTTTAGTGGTCCATGAAGTGAACCAAATGCATCGATAAGACTTAAAGCCGTCATGTTTTATAATTGACTGTTTTTCATTAGAAGTAGTGCAACAGATTCGTCTTCCCTAAATTTATTTCTGTCTCACCAAATACGCATTTCACGCCAGTTTTCCTTTTTTTTATGCTTACTATTCTTGCTTTTTTTTTTAATTAAATTGATTACGTTGATTTTTTCATATTTACCAAAAAGGAAATGGAAGAAACATTCAGAAAGTGGGGAAGAAAATTTTTCTTATTGAGGAAAAAATTATTAAAAAATAGATGAGAATATTTTGCCTTTATGTTTTCATTGTTTCTCTTTAAATTTTGTTTTTTTTTTATTAATTTCTTTGTTCTTTGGATTTTTTACCGTTTGAGCACCAATAATTTCTTTTGTTCAGTTTGCTTTTGTCATCGGATGGCCAGAAAATAAAACAAGAGGGAAAATTATTTTTATTCTATTGGAAAAAATTTTTTCGAGTTTTCTTCAAGGAAATTTGAAACGCAACAAATCTGGCTATTCGAATAATTTACCTTGTGCGGATGTGCAGAATTTGCTGATTTCTCTCTCTCTCTCTCTCCAAAATCTTCCCATTGTAATCGTCGTATATTATCATTTATTTTAAATTACTCTTCCATTGGTGCTGGTTAAGGTTAGCGATTTTGTATTTATTGATATTTATTTTTATTTTTTTTTAAAAAATCAGAATGGAATATTTCGACGAAAAATATTTTAGGATATATTTTAGAAGGGAGATGCACACTTATGAAAGAAAGAAAAATTTTTCGTTTAGTTGCTTTTAGAAAAAGCACTTAAAATTTTTCTAGAAAATGCTAATTACAATCGTTAAAGTAATTTTAAACTGTAAGAGGCGGTTTTGAAAATTATGCTTTCAGTAATACCTATGAAGTTTTTTTAAGAGATTCTTTTGATTGGCATTTAATTATTGCTATTATTATTCTTATTATTATTCCAGTGATGAAAAAAATAAATTTTATACAATTCAAGAATGTGAATTATGTGCACAAAAAAGTTGTTTCAAATTTGTTAGAATCAATCGAAAAATTAAAAAAGTTAAAGAAAATTTAGGAAAATTTGGAAGGTGATTATTATCTCAGAAGATGCATAAATGCCTAGCGTAGGCTTTTGCACGGTTGGCAGGCAAAGTGGCCAAAATCTGTTTTGGAGTGTTGGAATCACAGGTAGGGGGGGGGGGGTGAAGTTCGTGGTCACCTTAGTTTGCTTTTCTTTTATGAGGGAATTTTGATTGTTTATGAAGCCGACTTTAACCAACTTAGTGGCTTTTGTACTCTTCGACTAATTTTAATTTACCAATAAAACGGGAAAGAAATGCGTCATAGTAGAATACTTTTTTCATAGACTCGCAGAGACATAAATCGCCGTTGTTATCAGCAGAGGTCAATAGAGTTCTTCTCGAAATTCTCGAAGCAGTTGAGATTTCGGCATGCGATTGTGGAAAGTATGTGACATTTGACCTTCGGGATGCGTGTCTCCACAATTTCTCTTTCAGGTCAAGGACACTCGAAAAATAGTCGTTTTATTGGAATGAAATAGTTCCAAATGATTCTTATCGCATCAAATTAATAGGGATCAAATCTATTCAGAAGAATCGAATTAGGGGCACCATTATGGTTATGCATAAAATCGCCGAATGGGTAAAGTTTGTCGAAAAAGCCAATGAGCGGTATTTTTAGGAGAGAAAATATCAACCGAGTGCGGCCTAGTCGAAGGGTTTTGCTTGTGGCCGCCAATCAGTACGCTTTTCTTTTGTGGCTTATTTGTTATGGCTGAAAAGCGAAAAACAAGTAATATTTTGAAACAAATAAAAAATAACGAATCGCTTTATTTTCATTAAAAAATGAATTGAATTTTTTAAAAAAAAGAAAAGGAAAAAAAACGATTCGATTTTTATCCAACTAAATTCACTTTAAAAATTTCTAAATTTTTTGGAAATTCGAATTTTTAGATTTTAAATTAAATTTGAATGCGTGAATTTCTTATTTGTAAAATGTTATTGTAAAATAGTTTTTTTTGAAATAAATTTAAAGAATTTATAAGAATTTGTGTTAATTTCGATAGTTATCGTTGTGCGGCGAATTCGTGTAATAAATTCGCGCAATATTTGCTCCGCGAATAATTTGAATACGCGCTTACTCCATATTACGCGAGAGTGCACTTGAAATTGTGCTTATCACTCATCACTTATCGTTATGCACTAAAAAATTCAATGTAATTCTTCGCTCAAATATTGTCAAATTTTATTTTATTATAATTAAATATAAACGTAAATGTTATAAAATTATTGAATAAAATAAATAATTAAATAAATAATTTAAAAACAATGGATTTCCATAATTTATTTCTAAAAAAATTTGCGAAATTCACGTTTTCATTGAACAATATTTTATTGAAAAACATAAAAAAACAAAAACTATAAAAACAAGAAAATTAGAATTTTTTAGAGTTTTTTAGATATTTTTTAGAGTATAAAAATAAGTATTGAAAAAATCGTTATCGCTAATGAAAATTGAATTTTTATTCAATTTATTTTAAATTTATTTATTTTTTAAATTAAATTTATTTTAATTTATTTTTATCTTAGATTTTGTTATTAAATTTTTAAAATTTTTTTTATTTGAAAACTAAAAAAAACTTCCAACGAAATTTTTTATTGATATTTTTCATTGTTTATCATTTATAATTATTTGCACCGAAATGAATGAATGATTTGCACCAAAAATTGAATTTGTTAAAATTCTAAGCTTTGAAAGGCTTATAAGCGCTCTCATAATTAGAGCCAATGAACTAAATAAATATGCACCGCTAAAATAAAATAAAAATAAATATTTAATAAATGTATAAATAAATATTTGAAAAAAATTTACTTAAGATCACCTTTGTGGTTCCTTATGGTTTGTTGAGATTTGAAGAAAGGCTTTGCGCTTATTGGCATTGGGTCCTTCCGTATAATTCATTATATACTAATCAGTTGCGGTGTGATTAGTTAGTTGATAC